AGGCCATGGCAATTAGGTTGGAGGCCATCGCAATTAAGTTGGAGGCCATTGCTAGTAGGTCGGAGGCTGTTCAAGCAACAAACAATCCCACCCAGGTCCAGGGCAAGAACTCAATCTCGTGAATCCCAATAGTAGCCAAGTCGCCGCAAACAAATTCAAAAAGCATAACTCCCATGGACCAAAGGTCGACCTGCAAACAAGTAATGGCTGCAACACCTTTTCTGAAGTTGTCTTTGGAAACCAGCCAACCCTGAAGCATACGCATTGTTCATCTCGGCGTCCACGAGCAGTTAGAGGGCAAATTTTAATCTATTCAATCTATTCTGCTTCGATGCAGTTACGTGTTTGTGTTTCCTTCCTTTCTGGCTGGTTTCGGCCTTCTTGCACTGGGACAAAGGGTTAGCACAGTTTCAACCACGATGCTTCAAAATACATTACAAATGGATTGGGAAGAACGAGGGAAACAAAACAAGAAGTCATGGATGGACAGTTTGATCGATCAGTGGGTCGACAAAAAGACAAGAAGGCCTGGCTCTACCCATGTCAACTCCTTGCTGGATGGTGCAGAATATCAACAGTCTACCGTCTACCTGTCAACTCCTTGCACTCTGTGTCGAACTGCGTGGCACAAGAGAGATTACCACTTTTGCAACCACACCAGAGCACAGCAAATGCGAAGAGTCTCAGTCAACAAGCCTCCGTCCCATAGCCGTGCCCACGCATGACTTCAGGTGCCATGTAATGCGGAGTGCCAATCCTGGAAAGGACCCCAACACGTTTGGCAGATTTTGGCAAGGCTCTCACTCAGCCTGAGAGCTCTCATATGTTCTCCAAATGGGCGCTTCGACATCTGTGAAATGTTCTCAATGAGTGCCAGCGCATATGCACTGTCCGTATTATGCTTGCCTACAGTTTCCGCGACTTCTGCGAGAAGCCCAATCGCTATTAAAGGTTGGAGGCCATCGCTAGTAGCACATCGAACGATGTCAACAACTCAGCCAACGAAACAGCCGACTCGATGTGACGATCTTCAACTCACCAAGGCTCATGGTGAAGGTCTTTGATTCTCCATCAGGCAACTTCTTGGCGATGCCAAAATCTATGAGCTTCAAATAGCCCTGGGCATCTAACATCACCTCAGAGAACTGTGTGACGCAAAAGACGTCTTGGAAGAAATGCATAAGAACAACGGACTTCCCCATGTTTTGCAACAGCACTTTTAGATTCTGAATTGCTGTCACGTCAAGGAGCATTCTCCGGCTTTAAATCCCTGTACCTCAGCCGCATGCTTTTGGCCAACAGCACCAGAGTGGTGACCCAAGCGCTTTCAGTATTTCTCGGTCTGTCTGGGGCACAAAATGTTGCGCTCCGAGAGCTCCTCGCGAAGACCAAGCGTTCCACTCACTGGATCCCCATGACTGGGTAAGGAGATCGCAGTTGGCTTGGGGTAAAAGGCACTCCCTTAAAAAAGAAAAAAACAAAGGAACTGCCTTTAGGTTTGGAGGCCATCGCCAGTAGGGATCTTGAAATCTAGGTGCAATTGCTATTAGGTTGGTTGATGTTGGTTGACTTCAGTTCTGATAATTCAACTTAGGCAAAAGAGCTAGAATGGTTGCGATACCAGTCCCAGCTGACCGAGCTCAACGTCTCAACTTGGGCACCTCCAGGACAATCACCAAAGAGCCAGTGTAGAACTGCGCCTGAGGGATCTTGGCCATATCTAATAATCATCTCACGAGGCAATCGAACTAGAACAGGCTCTCCTTTTGCCAGCATCCGATAGTCACTCTTTCGAGGGGTCCTATGAACCTTTGGGTCAGAACATGTGGCTTAATTGGCCATATTCTTTCTCAAGCTTCTGCAGTACCTACCAAGCTTTCTCGTCACATCTGCATCGCTACTAGTAACAAGGGCAGTACTACTAGTAACAAGAAGCTACTAGTAACGATGCCCTTGTTACAGTTTCCAAAAGAACTCGTCTCGGCAGTGGTGGCAGTGGTGCTTTACTAAGCTTCTAGACCTGCGCTCGACCAAGCACCGTTGGGATTTCTCGGATTGCACCTTTGCAGTGCACATGTGCGCATGACTGGTGCTCACATGTGCAACAAATCTAAAATCAAATTCCTGACACTTCTTTATGCACGTCAGCTATACAGTATACAATACAGTACGTGACATTGCATTGCATGACATTCCAGCTCGAATGCCGCATCCCAGTGGCCATGCAGCTCTCCACCAGTGATGAGCTCAGTAAGGATATACACCTGGTGCTCGTGCTCTGTGCTGCACACCATTTGCAATGCCCAAACTCCTGAGCCCTCGAATTTTAAAGGGGTGTCAGAATATCTTGATATATCTTGATATGTGTCATCCATTTGTACATGCAATATAGGGATCATTATTTACCACATAGTTATACAATGTTATACACATGTAGGCCAATGTAGACCATGAGTTGAATCAGCTCGAGCATTTCTCAGGTTCTGACGCTCTTCTTTGTCTCGAAGGTGTTAACTTGCGTCATGATAAAAGGATGATCAATGTCTTTCCTTGGCTCCAGAACATATTAAAGAACACATACACTTGTCACATTATGGTCACCTTTCATATATAGATCGCTAGTAGGGTGGAGGCCATCGCTAGAGGGTGGTCACCTTTCACTGGCACCACCGGAGTGAATCTCTTCTCGGAGCGTCAACAATGAGCACTCGCGCTGCACTTCTTCGGGTACTTCGCCGTCCACTTTCTTTACGCGTTTTAGCCTTGGGCATCTGAAGGGTATGGCATACAGGAATGATTCGTTGAAACCCGGAAAGAATTAGTAGGCACTGAATCTGTCTGTATCTCTTTGCGATCTTCGCCTTTTCCTTGCGTTGAAGCACAGCAACGCATAGCGTGTGCGAGTGAAGTTGTGCTCCACCAATCGCACCACGCCTGCAGCACCTGGCCAAGCTATGGGATGTTCTTTCTTCTTTGTTAGCAATGGCCTCCAACCTAACAGCGATGGCCTCCAACCTAGAAGCGATGGTCTTTAACCTAATAGCGATGGCCTCCAACCAAAAGGAACATCTATTTGTGGCGTTCCTTTTGTGAGAAACAAGCGAGGGGATCTAACAGCATGGGCTAGTGTTTAAGATGGGACAAGACACTTGATTGTTGACCAGGCCAAACGTGTTTTTTCATGTTTTTTCTTAAAGGATTGAGGGCGGCTGGCTGTTCCAAGCGCTCATCCAAATGTTGAGGTATCGCCGGTATCGCATAGGCATGTTGAGCTTACAGGACAACAAGGCATGATGAGACCACTGTGTCGCGTATCGTACACAGTGCTTTTGTGATCTTTTAAAGCGACGCTGGGTGGTCAATCTGCATCGATTGCTACTCAATCGGAATGTAGCAGCTGATTCATGGATCTAGACACCCGACGGGATCCCTAAATCTCGAGACCTGCGAGAAAAAGCTTGCGAGTTGGCTTTGCAAGTCCTGCTGACTTTGCTTGGCGACCCCAAACTCCAGCTAATGTCCCAGGCACTGGAGCAATCGATTGCATTTCAATCTGACTGGGAACTTGTTTGGAGGCCATTGCTTCTAGGTTGGAGGCCATCGCGATTTAGGTTGGAGGCCATCGCTAGTGGGGTGGAGGCCATCGCTGCTAGGTTGGAGGCCATCGCTAGTAGGTTAGAGACGAGTGATCCCAACCATCCACTCTATTCTTTGAATTGGGGCATGTCTAGTGGGAGTGATCAGCAACTTGCTATCCACCATGATTTGTATGAGCATGTCCGATGTGCCATGCAACTGCTAAGCTAAAATGTCTCTCAGCTGATTCTTTTCTCTTTTACGCTTCAATCCACGGCATCCAAATTCCTGCAATCCCGTTGATGCGTAATGCTAACTTGTTGCAAAGGGCGTAATTTCTGTCTGGCGCAGGGTGCAACCTGGAGATGTGGAAGGTGCCACTATTATGTGCCACTCCTGGCTTGTTTTGGTCCTTCTGTTTCAGCAGTTGTTCTTTTGCATTGTCACCTGTTGCCACCTGTTTGTCTGGCACAACGGTGACCTTTCACAGGGGTGTGTAAGAAGATAGAACTAAGGGATAGTCAAGTCCATTCGCTGAGGAAAACATTAATTAGACAAGAAAAGGGACTTCTATAGAAAGCAGTTGAAAAGGAAAAGTCCAAGTCTCAAGGTTCAGAGGAAAAAATAGCAACACACGGCATTGTTTCTACAAACTGGTCGTAGGGGATAGTCAAGTCCGCTATTGCGAGCATGCTTCACAAGACAGCATACATACAAAACTCAAAACAAACACACTGGGACTTGCAAACAAGATGAACTGCCCTACACCATGGTCAATGTCTGCGGTGCAAACACTTTGCAAAACCCTCACCTGCACCAATCACTTTCACTTGGATCAAATCCTTGAGGCCAAAGTTTGTGTCCTGCAGCCTGCCGATTGGAGCTCAGGTCGAACTTGGGTGATGCGACTGACCCGAAAGCGAATCATCAGCCGGGCCAACCGGCTCACAGGCTACGATACTAGCGATGCCCTCCAACCTGATAGGCCTCCAACCAGCTAGCGGTGGCCTCCAACCTACTAGCGATGGTTCCAAACCTAGAAGCAATGGCCTCCAACCTGCTAGCAATGCCCTCCAACCTACTAGCAATGGCCTCCACCCTGCTAGCAATGGCCTCCAACCTACTAGCAATGGCCTCCAACCTACTAGCAATGGCCTCCAACCTAACAGCAATGGCCTCCAACCTAGAAGAACGTAGACGCAATGGCCTCAAACCTACTAGCGATGGCCTCCAACCTGCTAGCAATGGCCTCCAACCTAACAGCAATTGCCTCCAACCTACTTGGGTCCCAGCCGCCTGAAATGAAGAACACGGGAGATTGTCTCTGCCAAAGGGATTCAGTTGGAAGGGTGCTAAGCACCCTTGTAAATCCCAAAACGGCTTTCCACGACAACCCCCGGAACGTCTGGGATCCTTGCCTGATGCGATTCATCAGCTGCTGCTGCCTCAAATTGTCAAAAAGGTGTTTGCAATTGTTGCTGTTGCTTCACCAAAGCCACGCCCTTTATATATTTGTTTGACGGAAACTGCAGACTTTTTGGGACAAGCCACATATTTCCAGCAATAATCTTTTCGAAGGTAGCCTGACAAGTGAGCGTTGCCAACAGTCCCACGTTGAAACACTTTGTCACGTAGCTAGATCTGTCTCAAATCCATTCGATGTTGTTCTAGATCTAATGTGAGTAGCCCTCGGATGTATAGAACCCGATGAGTAGGACGCGAGTGAAAGCAGCGTGCCTTCTCAATCGCCCAAAGCTCTGCATCTTGCGAAATGACCTGGCAGCAATCAGTTCAGGCAATCAGCGACCTGGCTGAAAAAGCGTTCGCCGTCTGACGGGCGTCTTTCAACAACAAAGCCTTGAACACACCACAGCCTTCACCGTTGCTGTCCGTGGCTCGTGGAACAGTAACGCCCGCTCACCTGAGCCCATATCCCAAGCACAGTGGCAGGGGAAGCTGCACAACGCCTTGCAACTGGGAAGTGTTTCGGGGCCATCGCTGCTAGGGTGGAGGCCATCGCTAGTAGGTAGGAACTAATTACTTGACCAGGGTTGTAGATTATTGGGGGCATTCAGGTAACAGCTCTAGGTTCTATATGGTCTTTTGAGGGAGGTTGTTGAACAGGAAACCTTGCATCTCATCTTACAAAGATGAGCCCAACTCGTACAGTATAGCTTCTGGGCCACAAGTTATCCCAAACGTTTCTCCGGGGAAAGCAACAGGACTCTCTAAAGTAGCCATGGCACCGATGTAGGAGTTTTTCGCCATGCTTCGCACCTGAGAGATCTGTAGATCATCTCGCGCAACACATGGATGCAGCGGCAAAAACATGCAAACACTATATAAGCGCATGCATTCCTGACCGCCGTGTATGTAGCAAGGGCTGTTCAAGCCCAAACATCTCCCACTTTGTGCCGAGCATGATGTCCCGCAGGCAACTCCGTGCGCACGCATCTGCACTTGCTAATGTGAAGAACAAGTTAGCCCATGGCGAACATATAAAAAAGGAACGTAGAGCCCCCGAGCGCATCCCTGCAAGCCCCCAATGTGCAACAATGTGAAACTGACAACCGGCATCTGTTCCTCCGGGCACGGAAGAGCGCCAAAAGGGGCCTCCATGCCAAAGGAAGGCCAAAAACAAGACACGGCCGGAACCCCATACAGAAAGCCAGAAGGAAAACGACAAGAAACCGTCCATACTCATATACATCTTCGTACTGTACTCCATGTGTCTCACTCCAAAACGATGTAGCGATGCTTTTTATCTTTGCTGTGCAGTCTGTTGCAATAGCCCAGTCAGACCTTCTTTTAGGAGATCTCAGCGGTGTAAAACACCAATGGAATGCAATGCTTATCGGCCGCACGCCAGAAACAACCACTAAGTACAAGCAATGCAACACTAAGATATGAATGATATTAATTTGATTCAATAAGCACGGGTGCCTCTGACCGCTAAGAAGAAATTTGAAGCAAACTTCTCAGAATGATTGCGCAAAATGCGATTCCCACGTGAACGCACATGTGACGACCAATGTTGAAATTAATGAGAATCTAACTTGGAAGGCAGCATGAAAAAACATCAAAAGCGGACACTTTCCCAATCCGAACGAAAACTCGAACGACTTTCCATCACTTTCCTTGAGTTAAGCTTCCCACGAACTACAAGTTTCAAGATCCATCCAAAGTGATCTTTTCCACTGGAGAAACTTTGGTTGCCCGTGAGTCCAAAATATGTCTTCAATGCATTTCATGCTTTTGTGACGTGTCCACGTAGCTGGACATCGTGAAGCTGAGAAGCGGGGGGAATCGAACCTGATAGTAGCGGTCACTCATGAGGCAAAGAGGAGGGGTAGCAAGAATGCTCCTAGAAGTACGGCCAGGAGCGCCCAGTAGCGTCCTTGCTCCAAGTAGCGATGCCAGGAGCCCCTAGTAGCTTCTTGTTACTAGTTATATAAGCTTCCCAAAATATCTAGGAACCCAATGAGGAGGCAGGGCCAAAGAAGGCGTTCCAAAGAAGGACCGCTACGGGTGCTCAATGGCCCTGCCAGCAACGGGTTTCTCGGCGGCCCGACCGTTAGGGGCACCAGCTCACCCGACCAGCAACTGATGCCAGGATCATCGCAACGCTGCGCTAAGCTCGCCACGCGTTTCTCTTCACCTGCTTGATCCTTAATGAAGACCTCCAGCTCACCCGAGGCGATCACGAAGAAAGAAGTGCCAGGCTCACCTTGTTTGATGACCTCACGTTGTCGACGTGGACATCAACTGAGTTAGGACAGTGAGGCCTTTGACCAGAATCAATGACTTCAATGACTTCAATGACAATCAAGAAACTGATGCCAAACATTGACAGCTCAAGACAGCTCAAAACGAAAGCAGTGGGTCTTCCAACGATTTGGACCAAGCGTCTGTATCACCTTTGGAGTACTTCTTCGTGTCGAATCTGGGGTCTGGAAGCCAGTGGGGCCGAGCCCAATGGGTGATTCTTAACACTAGGGACAGGCAGTTAGAATAGGTTTAAATAAGTATAATGCGGTTAGAATATGACAATTATAGTTATTTGGGAGCATTGCAGTAAGAATATGCCGCCACAGTTAGAATATGCAAGAGACCACAAGTGATCCTGTCAACTTGATCCTCCTAAAGAGTGAAGGATTGCAGTATACTGTGGTACAGTATGTGCTCAGCATCACATACAGTAGTCACTGCACACAGCTTTGAGGGCATGCTGGAGCAGAGGTTCACGAATGGCGTCTCCGTACAATCAGTATTCTATCTGCACGTGCCATATTCTATCTGCACATGTCAAAACCCTGCTCTCTGAAAGTGCAAAAGTTTCAATTCATAAATCCTATAGCTTCAGTATTCTAAGTGCTGGTCTCCTAGTATACATGTAAAGGAGCCTAAAGGAGCAACAATGGGACACTGTACTGACGGGATGGATGCGAGAAAAACACCCAACGGACCCCAGACATGAAGCTAACTGCAGGGACACTCGAGGCAGCCCTAATGATCTGGAAGTGCTCCCCACTGAAATGCCCTTCCCCTTGCTCCGATACATGGTGCGAAAGAAGATTATCTCCTAGCTTCTTGATGAGCCTGGAACCGGTTTGAACAAGTTGGGGCTGATTTTGATACGCTTGATGCGAAGCAAGACACGATTCCACTACCCGCTTCGTCTGCTCTTCTGAAAGATGCCTGAAAATGTGCACCTGGTGGCATGTCATCGTGTGTGGGCACAGCCAGCAAATCAGCAAAATCACCAAAGCACGAGGAGTTTGAAGGTCTTTTGAGACTCTCCATGCTGTGAAGGACCCAAATGGCCTCCACCCTACTAGCGATGGCCTCCAACCTAGTAGTGATGGCCTCTACCCTATTAGCAATGGCCTCCAGCCTAGTAGCGATGGCCTCCAACCTAGCATCGGTGGTGACACAAGAATGTATCCTGACCTTCTTCGCCAACAGCATTTTTCGGGTGAAGTCCGAGGCATCTTCTGCACTCGCCTTGGCAGAAGACACCTAAAATTATGAAGGCACAAATTGGAACCTTGCTGAATCTTGTGGGCAAAGCTGGTCATGAAGATACAAACAACTAGTAACAAGAAGCTACTAGGCGCTCCTGGCATCGCCACTAGGCGCATTCTTGCTACTAGTAAAAGAGACGGATATTGGGGCAAATGATGGCCGCAAAGAGTCATGTTCACAGAATCTGTTGCCTATGATTTGCGGGGCTGAGATGAGCTTCTCCATTCTCGGCCATTCCACTTCTGCTGACTGGAGGCCATTGCTAGTAGGTTGGAGGCCATCGCTTCTAGGTTGGAGGCCATCGCTAGTAGGTTTTTTGCTGACTGTTGCCTCCAACCCTGAGAGAATGGCCATAGACACGCCAAGGCCCTTGAGGGCAGAAGCCAAGTTGTCCGATGTGACAATGGCCACCCTTGGAAGTGTTCGAGAGATTCGGTAGAGGTTTGGGTCTGGTTTGGGTATATCCCATATCCAAGGCCCAATGGATGATGACGATGATGATGGTTAGGTTGCAGGCCTTTCTCTATGACAAGACCTTCTGCCGACTGTTGCAGATAATGGGACACCCAGGTATGGTTCTCAAATCATGTGTTCGTGTGTGCTTCCTTTGGCTGTTGAATGGTTCATGATTGAAGTTTGAAGGATTATTCTAGGTGTGGTCTTGCAATAATTTTCTTGTGGCGAAGATAGCCATCAATAGAGCAGTTCACAGATGATTTCCTGTCTCTAAGCTGTTATCATGTCATTAGACATCAAGGACATGGTCCGAAAATACATGGATAAGGTGAAGTCTGTGTGAATCACTCCCACAAAATGAAGGGACAAAATGAAGCTTTATATGTTGTTTCGCAAATGGACGCTCGAGGCAGGGTGGAAGGGAGGTGGAACCCAAACGGTTTTGGTGAATCGAGTTGAACATCCTTGGACCAGGAACAAGAAGCTACGATCGGGGCTCCTGGCATCGCTACTACTAGGGGCTCCTGGCCATACTACTAGGAGCAAGAAGCTACTGAAAACATGTTTGGTGAATCGAGTTGAATCTAGCGTTCTTGCTCCTAGTAGCTTCTTGCTCCTAGTAGTATGGCCAGGAGCCCCGATCGTAGCTTCTTGTTCCTTGGACAACTCACATTCCAGAGATTGCTGCTTTCGGCGTCGAGGCACCGTGCACCTTGCTCCCCAGCTACGAGGCTTTTCTTCTCGCTGGAAGTGCTTGGGTGAAGCAAGGCCTGGCCAAGCTGCAGAGCCAAAACATATTACGGTGCCAACTGGCCAACTAGTAGGTTGGAGGCCATCGCGTTGGTCAATGAGAGCCACTTCGGGACAAACGTCTTCTAGATATTGTTCATGTTTACGGAGCCTATGTCCTGCCTGCAGTTGTGTGCATCTTTCCCCAATCAACGCATTCCAGCAAGCATAATCAGTTTGGAGGAAGGTGCAAGACATGATCCACACTTTGGATCTTTTCTTTTGCACCTTCCTGGGGGTTCCTGGAACTCTTTTTCATCAATCCTCACACTCCCACACACACAAGGTTGGACCAGCCCCGTCGGGAGGATGCGTAACGCTTGGCCTCATCCTCCAGATAATCTCGACGTCCTAACTTCACATCCTTGTCCTCGAGATCGGGGACCGTATGCCCAGCACAGCAGAAGGGATATGATCGACACAATCGATAGGCAGTTGCTTTCTCGATGTTTTGTTGCTTAGTCAAATTCGGAATTGCATTTTGAATATAACATGCGTTTGTTCGGAGTCGTGCAAAGCAAAGGCACAAACATTTGAAGGCTAAGGCGTCACAAAGCGTTATTGGAAGCAATACATGAGGTTTCACTATATATAGTCCCTGCAGTCCCTGCTACTGAAATTGAAATGATTAGAAACAGGACGATGCTGCGAATGTTTGAAGGAATGAAAGCAATAATTAGAGAATTCAACCTCTTCCTGAGAATGTTTCAGCCTGGCAAAACTGAAAGCTACTGCAACTGACACGTATCTCAAGCCGTGGGTGCGTCCTTGATTTTTCCTGATAAGGACCCTTCAAGAACGACCACAAAGCGAGCACCAATCTCAACCTCAAGAAATGCGCAAGCTGCAGAACAAATCTACTGGAAGAAGGTTCCGTGTGCTCATGTTGAGATCCACAGTGCTGACCGAGTTGCTTCAGCGCCAGCATCGAAGTCCTGTCACACACAAAAGGATGTCAACACTGATGTCAACATAAACCCACAGGATGTCTACTGCAGTTCCAACTGGGTTCAGTCCTTGACCTGGACATATTTCAGGAGTTCGGTGCGTTGGCCAGCAGTGAACTGGGAGATCAGTGGGCCTGTCACCACTTCTTCTGTGTCTTTCTTTTTGCACCTTTGAGACCTTGAGACCTTTCCTTTCCATCCTTTGATGTTCAAATTGCCTGTTTTGACTTTTGCACTCTACGTCGAGGCCCGGGCAGTTTTTCAAGCCCTGTTGGATCACATTCCTCTCCAACACCGCGCCCAGGTCTTCACCGAGGATGACCTTCCAAGCGAAGGATGCTTTATATAGATGCCTTAGAGTGTTCCATATGTTTTTCCTTTTCTCTGTCTTTTGGCAGGTGACACCACGGTCTCATGGTTCAGGGCTGCTAACAATTTAATGGCTTCATAGTGGCCGACCCGCCCAGGACCCAATGATAGCAGCCGGAAGCGTCGCAGAATCGGCGTTCGTCAGGAAGTATCGTTACGAAACCGCTCGCCTTTAATTTCCAGAACCCTGGCTGCAAAGGCCTTCCTTAAGAGTCACCAAGACCAGGGTCCAAAAATCACCTTAAAACATCCAAGACTTTCACCTCGTTTTTGAGGCCTTTGTTACTAGTAGCTTCTTGTTCCTAGCAGTATGGGCAGGATGCCAGGAGCCCCTAGTAGCGTCCTTGCTCCTTGTAGCGATGCCCTTTGCTCCTAGTAGCTTCCTTGCTCCTAGTAGCGATGCCAGGAGCCCCTAGTAGCGTCCTTGCTCCTTGTAGCGATGCCCTTTGTTGTTAGTAGCTTCTTGTTCCTCAAAACATCCAAGACTTTCACCTCGTTTTTGAGGCCTTTGAGTCGTTTTTGGCACTCCACGCCTTGAGCTCGGCCACGCTGACGCACAGGAGTTCAGAACGGCCCTGGGAAACGATGGTGTTGTTGAACCTGAGGATTTACAATCTCCGAAGTGCACCAATCACAGCAGCATCAAACTTGGGAGTTGGCTAGTTCAGCATTTAACTAGTAACAAGTGCATCGCTACTAGGAACAAGTGCTTTACGACTACTAGTAAGAAAAAGCATCTAGCAACGCAAAGATCTTTTCAATTTTAAAACCTGCTTCAGGACAGCCTTTTCTGCACATGAGAAGTGAACAAGCTCGTGCTAGCAGATCTGTCCAGCTTGAGCATGTTTGCCAAGATGCGGCTCCTTTGAAACCAGTTGAGCTTCACCGACGCATTCCTGCGATCGATACAGCATGAGCAGGACTCGAAGGGACAGAGGATAACAACAGCCTTGCACATGCATATTATAGATGCACATTTTGGCTCATAATCAAACATGCAAATCTTACCTGTCGAGCCAACATGATTCTTGAGCCGTTGGCAGACCAAGGACACCCAACTTTACAAGGCATCTCTGAAGCCTAGAAAAGGAATGCAAACAAGACTCGACGTGAAGCCCATCAAGACAGACCCAAACTGCTAAAAACAAGGACTTTGCGGTTAACAATCATTGATCATGGCATGATGAAAGAAGGTCAACAAAACATGTTCTAGGATTGGGACTTGGACTGATGACCGATTTGCGCTCACCAGCATCGCCGATCAGCATCACCCATCGCCCATCTCCGGTCATTCTGGCCAAGACGTCGCACTTCCGAACCATCGACAAACTCGCCGGTGCTTTTCACCTTAAGAGAGGCCCAAGGTCAAGCGATGAAAAGCGATGGCCTCCAACCTAGCAGCGATGAAATTCATGGTTGAAACAATTTCTTAGGCACAGGTTTTGGGGCTGGAAGGTCGGAGACTACCCCACCAAACAAGCCATTAATCAAACACGCATTTTTAAGGGTTGCTCTCAGGTTGGAGGCCATCGCTGGTAGGTTGGAGGCCATCGCTCTTAGGTTGGATGCCATCGCTCTTAAGGGTTTTAAGTGGTCAGCTTTGTCCCGAATCCGAGAGCCGCACGCTGCCGCCCGAAAACTCCTTGAGCTCGCCTGTTGCACTTTGCTCCGCCCAACTTTGAAGATCTTCCTTTTACGTAAGTCTTTATATAGGAACAAGAAGCTACTAGAGGCTCCTGGCCTTACTGATAGGAGCAAGGACGCTACTAGGGGCTCCTGGCATCGCTACTAAGGAGCAAGGACGCTACTGGGAGCTCCTGGCATCGCTACTAGGAGCAAGGACGCTACTAGGGATGTGAGTACAGCAGTTTAGTCGGGGATTGCCGGGGTCTACATGGCAAGAGATTCGTGTGTCTGGTGTTTGTGCATGTACTTGCCTTTGCGAAAAATCTAGTGGTTCAGAGTGGCGATGCATTTCCAGGGCCCCAGCGCAAACCCCCTTCCGATCGCTAGTTGCAAGGGTGCAGTACCCGGCCAAACCAAAATCTGTTTAACAGCTTCTTACTGGCAAGTAGCAGAGGAAAACATTCTAAGTCTAAGTTCTTGAAACCCTGTCAAATACTTAGAGGAGCTCTTGCTGTAAATTTATGAGCTGCTTGTATCTCGCTCTCTCTCGCCATCTTGGTCTGCCAGTGGGAAAACATTTGCATATCTCATCGGCAAGCATTCAAGAATCTTCCACTCTGAGACCGAAACCTGTGAGTGAGCCTCATCCTCATTCTCTCTCATCCAGTCTCTCATTCCCTGCCTTTCTTGACGAAGTAGATCGCGGTCTGCAAATCGCCAGCAGTGACCACGCGCGCCTGCAGGCGAGCAGGAAATGATGGGCACAATAGATAAGACTCTTTAATTAGCTGTCAGGGTGATGGCATTCCGGGTGCTAGGTCGCGTCAGTCTCCGGCTCTACGGTCCTTGTCTTCGAAGACCTCTGAGAAGGTGGCCTGTGGGAACAACAGCGTCGTCCACGTCGTCATCCAAGCTTGAATGTATGGAGGATGGAAACGTGTCAGTCAGTGGCTACATCCAAAAGGACTGGAACATGCCTCAATAGGAGCACACTGACGAGTATTCTTTCCGGAGGCCTCCAACCTAATTGCAATGGCCTGGAACCTAATTGCGATGGACGCTTTCTGAGGACATGACCTCTGCCAGGCCAATCTTTTGCTTCTTTGTGAGGCCCTCAAAAATGCTGGTGGAGTCCAAAAACTTCAAGGTCTCGGCCTCCACAGGCTGCGCCGCAGGCGAAAACCGCAGGCTGCGCTACTGCTGTGTTACTGACAAAACAGTGTTTCAAGGATATGAATTATGCAAATAAGGGAGCTGAGGTCTGAATTTTCTTCCTTTTTTTCAAGGGACAAAGGAAGAGGCTGGGGTCTGAATTCAGATGTCATCTAAAGAACGACGTGAACGTCATGAATGATTGGCAGATCTTCCATGATGGGCGGTCTCTTCTTTAAACTACAGCAGCCATGATCAACTCTGGCAGCCCATGGCTGGGCGGCTGCTCGGATGGCCGGTTTGGGGAACGAATGCAAAGGTCTTCAGACTAACTGCCTGGTGCTTGGTAGCATTGTGCTGCAACATTTGCTTGAAGGCAGTGCCACTAGCCTCAGAGGGTCTAAACAAGTCAACAAACATCTGAAACACCGTGCGGAGGTCGGCAGGTCGTGGCAGAAAAACCACGACCTAACGTGTCTAAAGAAATCAAAAGAACACAACAAGGAAAACTAGAAAACACAAGCTTCTTATAAGCATTTTTGTTTGATTTATTAAGCAAGAAACAAAACACACAACACCCGGCAGCGTCCCCCCAAAAAAGACTCCGGTCAACCGAGGCACGCCCCAGACCTGGCTGTCACTGGTCGCTTTCACTGTGGCGGTGCGAGGGCAATTGTAAAGCAATGCCAGGCCACCGAAGGCACATCCTGAAGAACGATGTGGCATAGCAGGCGTAGCACGAGGCATGTCGGCGGTTGGGAGGCTTGGGGAGGGGTCGTAGGCCGCGGAGTGGGGAAATTAATTAGGTATCTGATGATCTACTAGGAACTATTAAGTAGGCCACCAGCTACCCGGACGCAGGCGAATTCATGCTTCTTCACGGCTGCCGGGGGGGGCAGCATCCTTGAAGCGCTGAAGCGCGGGAGCATGAGATTGTGGAGGGAAACTTGGCTTAAACTTGGAGACATTGTGATGATGGCATATTCACCAGGAGCGCAATCACAACTTTCACTGACAAACTCAGCTTCAGGTGGTAACTCAGCTGCAGCTGCGAAACGCGTCGCCACGGAGCCTTGAAACATCCTAATCCACCCATCCACCCAGCTCCTTCGCCAATTGCATTGCAAACAATTCCCTTCACCTTAGCTAGGTCACATTGCCTACTTCAATCGCTTCATGCAAACGGGGAGCGGCTGGTCTGAAGAAGAGCGATTCTGCGACAACTTTGCTCCGAGGTACACTCACCTCCATGGACCCAGACTGGGTCACAAAGAACCTTGGACAAGGACGGAATGTGCGAGGACTCAGACCTCAAAGCACATGGCCTCCTACCTACTAGCGATGTCCTCCAACCTAAGACAACTCATACCTCAAGCAAAATGGGAAAGCCTTTCGGTGCTATGCAGATCCTTCGCGCTTTCTGGGTCGAGTCGGAAACGCAAGAACATCACTCTGCCCTGCCCAAGTGGAGAAGGGTGGCAAGGAAAAGACACATTCTGCCTCAAAAACTCCAGAAGCAAAGTAAACAAGATGGAACCCACGAACCCGAATGTAAACACGTTCGAAAAACTACACAGGTCCACATGACACTCTTGTGAGACACTCTTGTGGGACACTCTTCTGGGACACTCTTGTGGGACACTCTTGTGGTCACTCTTGTGGGACACTCTTGTGGGGCACTCTTGTGGGACACTCTTGTAGGACACTCTTGTAGGACACTCTTGTGTGACACTCTTGTAGGACACTCTTGTGGGACACTCTTGTAGGACACTCT